TATATTAATGACTAACCTCGTATTGTGGATGAATAATCTCAGTTGTTCTCCTGACTAAAGTTTGGCTGTTTACTGTTTTCTTAACTTGCATATTCACTAATATTGGTTTTCAGTGTTTCTGAGATCTGATCTTTAACGCCCCTCAGGCCCCTCAGGCCCCTCAGGTCACAGCATTTCATACTGATTTCAATTTTCACTCTTTGTGTTCTCCAGATTCGTTGAATGGTTGAACGATGTTATGTACCTTAGATAATAAAAGCAAAATTCTTTGCAGTTTAATACTGAGAAATGTTATTCTTGAAACAGCTGATCTATTTGCCCACACGAGAGAGGTGAACCCCTCCCTTCTCTGCCTCATTTCTGGGGTACTTTTATTTATATATATCCAGTCATGTTACTAAGATGTTACTAGTTATATTAACATTTTTAGTTGTTAGATGTTCCACTATGTTTTGTTAAGCAGCACAAAACTCAATTTTTTTTTTTGCCTCTATTGCAAATTTAAAAAAAAAGATTTTAAGAGTTTTAGCAGTTGACATGTTGCCTTTCCTTTGTTTCATTATGTAAAATGTATTTTTATGTGTTTATTTACATTCTAATCACTGTGTAAATGGAGTTTTTGGGGACAGACTGTCACTTTCAGGTTTCCCTTGTAACCTACTTTCACAGAGTAACCAGGCTTCTTGTGCAAATATGTGATTTGAGTATTTGCCAATTATATGTCAATATTTAAAAGCCTTACTGACTTTAATGTTAAAAACATCTTGTTTTAATATTATAATATGTTTTGTGAAGCAGGGGAAATGATCTAAACTTGTAGTTCTGACACAAAGCAGCAGCTCCAGGCCCAAGAAGACGTTTGTGTTCAAAACCCACATCAGCCATATTTAGTATATCCACATTGTTTAAAAGCATTTACACACTTATGGATCTGTTTAAATCTATTACGCTTCTGCTCACAGTCAACAGTGCTTTTCCATCGTTATAGATCAAATTAGGTTGCCGTAACAATATTGACAAACAGAGGCCTGTTATGTAACTTTTGTGATCACAGTTAGTCTGTCAAAGTGAGAAGGATGAGGCGTCCGATGCTAACAACCGCATAAACCCTCGTTAATCGTCCATCTCACGCCTCCATGTGTTTATCTCGTCACATCTTTGTCACATTCTCGTCATTCTTTCAGACCTGTTCTCAGGTCAGCTGAGGTGCTTAATCTTCACTACCTGGTGTGACTGATTTAAAAAGAAAAACAAAGGCATTAAACTCGTCTTATCATCTTCTGACTGTCACACATGTCATCGAGTACTTTGTTGGAAAATACAAGGGAGAGCTATCCAGTCTTTCAGGAATGTGCTACCTCCACATCAGCCCTCGCATGTGACTGAAAGCAGATGCATTCCACCTTTTTGAGATAACATTTGACACAAATGTTTGATATGTGGATGGTTGTCACACCATGAAAGTACAATTATAGCCACCCTTCAGGTAATCCCCCACCTGATCGAAATGGATTTGGCCATGATATCCAGGACCCATTTACTGTTGGAGCCCTGACAGGTCTATTATGACCAATTACAACACACACAAAGTAGCCCTTTCTCATCTCTGAGTCATCTCTTCTAAGCTACAGCAGAGGTCAGCCCTCCTCTTTCAGTCATCTTTGTAAAGTAAAGTAACTGTCTGGTATGCAGAGGATGCCCCATTAACTGTCATTGCTGGGGACAATTACCTCGTCTGACCTGGCAAAAGATTAGAAAGGCCTGGAGGGACAGAGCTTTCTCTTTGCTGGCCGACTGAGGAGTCAGGCATTCCTCTTGTAAACTTTCTCCTGGATCTACACTCTCCAGCCTGCCATATAGATATAATATATATGTATTATTATTATTTTATTTTTTTAAAGGCATGCCAAGTGATAGATGCAGTTTCAGCGCACAATCATTTCATCAGTCTGTCACCTTATCTCTTTGTCTTTTCATTTTCTCCCACTCTCCAGTGCTTGCATTGTCTCATACAGCCTATTTGTCTGGTTTCCTGCATGTCTGACGTGCTCGGGGAGATCCTATCTTCTCTTGAATGCCTGCTCCCTGAGTGTTGGAGAAGAGCAGCTAAATAAGGATGCCATTTTTCTTGGTCATTTATTTTCTCGCCGAACAATCTCATATCTTATTGTCACCTCTTGCAAAAACTGTTGTGTGTTTCTGTCAGGCTAGTCGACATCTCAGTCATATCTCTTGATCTCTGCGATTAATACTATAGCCCAGAGTTAGTTGCACTTTGGAGTAGTTTACTTTTGCATCCATGTTTCTGTGCTGAATAAAATACGCAGGCGTGTAAATATATTTTACACATTCATCAAGTTATTTTGAGACCATCCATCCACTTTCTGCCACAGGTCTGTGTCACAGGGACAGCAGAGAAGCCCAGGCCTCTCTATTCACAGATGGGATTGTTTTGAATTGTGCACAAATTATAATATGCCAGTGTGGAAAAGCTTTTTGTCTTTGCCAACAGCTGAAAGAAGCTTCATTTCAACACTGTACCTTCTCTGACCAGCAAATCTGAAATCAAGGTCCACTGCAAACTCAAGTTTGGGACAGTAGGCTTTCCACACTGTCCCAGAGCCATCCCACCAGTGATATTAGGACCAAAAATCTAGGAGGTTTACAGCCCTCCGAATACTTAGTTTCTCAAGTCACTCGGTGTGTAGTTTGTATGGAGTAGGCATCATTCTGTTTTCGGAGCGTATACACCTGAGGATCATCCACATAGAAGTGGCTTCTAAGAATGAAACTGAGGGGCTGCAGGTACAGAGAAAAGATGCCCAATGACTGATCCCTGAGGATGTGAGATGGTTTAGACCAGGGGTCTGCAACCTTTAACACCCATAGAGCCACTTGGACCCGGTTTCCACGCAAAAGAAAACACTGGGAGCTGCAAATACTTTTTGAAATCTAAAATGAAGATAACACTGTATATATTGTTTTTTACCTTTATGCTTTGTGTGAACAACTAAGGTGTGTTGCTTATGAAATCCATGAAGTTACAGAGAAAATTACATTTTATTTATGTAATGAACACATTTTGAACTCTTAAAGAAATATAACAAAAAGGAAAATGATCCATGTAGCAAAGAAAAACTGTTGTGTACCGATACCCTTATATCGCCTTTGGAGCATAGCAGAGCCTTGACCTGAATTTTAACAAATAATTGGAAAAAAGCACTATGCTACTAAATATTTGCAAAATTCTGCATAAATATTTATTTATTTACTTATATTTATTTTACATGGTAAATGTGTGTGGGGGGCGTGGTCTGCAGTGCTGCTGCAGGGGAGGCGGATGCACCTGAGCTGCACCCGCAATCACGCCTCGCCGCCTGCTCTCTTTGCTGTTGTGTTGTCGGGCTGTGAGCTGAAAAGCTACAGCCGGCTGTGTGCGCACAGCAACGTGAAAAGTGGTCAATAAAGAGAAGCTGAAAAGCGTGTTCATGCAAACATCGTCGGGTCTGCTGTGATATGTTTACAATAAGACTTCTGCTCCTGAACCTCTGCGCACAGTGAAGTCACTTTCATCTTTACGCAGGACTGTAAGCTGTCGTCTGTGAGGCGTGAGCGGTGTTTGTTTTAACATAGTTCACAGTCGAGAACAGCTGCTGACGTGATGTGGATCCGAAGATCCATAATTGGCCTATCTGGGGTTGAAAGTCTCGGTAAATGCACGGCGTTTCGGCGGGTATACCGGCTTCCGCGAGTGTGACGCTTATTTTGAGCGACGAAAAATAATAAAATATAATTTGATTTTTACATTTAAATATCACAATAATCTTTCAATTTAGAACTAAATTAAAAGAACTAATACAAAAAATACACTTTAGGTAAATACTTGTAATTTATTTTCCCAAACCCCTCGGAGCTGCAGTATAAGGACTAAAGAGCCGCAGGTTGCCAACCCCTGGTTTAGACTAACACAAAAACATTATGTCCTGTTTTTACACGTCGACCAGCCTCTACACTTTAATGGAATTTTCAGAAAGAAAGAAATCATGTTTTATGTGGTATGTGTCAACATTTCCACCACTTATGCTTACGGTGTGACATTTACCTGCTCTGTTTTTTGTCTGTGATCTTTTTCTCCTGTCTGGATCCAGGTACAGGACATGTGTTTCAGCCAGGACAGTCGCTGGGTAGCCGTCAGCACCCTCCGCGGCACCACACATGTATTTCCCATCAACCCCTACGGTGGTGCACCGTGTGCCCGGACTCACATGTCCCCACGTGTGGTAAACCGGATGTCGCGCTTTCAAAAGAGCGCTGGATTGGAGGAGATTGAACAGGAGCTGAACAGGGCAGCTGCTTTAGGAGGAGGAGCAGGAAGTCTTGCAGGAAGTGGCTGCATCTTAGGTGGAGGAGGCATCGGTGGGCGCTGTAGCCCCATACCAGGCCTGTCCAGCAGCCCCTCAGGGTCTCCATTACATGGTAAGGAGCTGGGAGGGTGAAGAAGTGAGACGCTTATTGATGTTTCAGTTTTAGAAGTCCAAGTTGGCGTCTCAGCAGTAGAGTTGTGGTCAGAAGTATACATCCACACAGTCGTTTCTTTGTTTGTTTTTAAAGGGAAATGATTGTATATATCTTTAATCACTTTAAAAAACAAGAATTGGGTGTACAAGTTTCAATTTTGGATCTCCACAGGATTTGATAATGATGCTGAGCAGCAGAGCGTTTCATTCATCCAACTTCAAAGTGCTTTAATTACACAGCCGTTCACTGCTAACAATGAAAACTGTTAGAAAGAGCAGATTTAGGAGTTTTAAGTGGTTGCCGGTTGGTAGCATAGCAACAGCTGTGACTCCTGACATGCTCAGACGGGTGTGAGTATTGTGTGGACACATGCCGCTTCCAGAGGGCACACACTGAGCACCTGTGAACACTCAGCCACGTGTTTCAAAAATTACTTACTTGGCTTCTGTGTCCATTTCTTAAAAAATAGAGCTTTTTAAAACTGGATTATTCTTTTTGATTCACTCTGTATATTAGCGAGTAATAAATGTGTTAGTCATGATGTAATACATGATTGTTCCACAACTAGATGACAAGCAGCTTCCTCACTTCTGTAATCTCTGTAAACTAAACAGTAATTCTCATCTAGTCTGGTTATGTCGACACATTCACGTCCTGAGAACAGACCACGGATTCCACCCAACACTGTTTACCAGCTGTGATATACTTGGAAATTTAGCCCTGAAAGTTCATTAGACTCTCTATGAGGGTTTTTTTCCAGCCCCGATTTTTGAGAATAATTTAATCGGGCAGCAAACGTCATAGAGAGTGTATATAAGTTAACAGGAAATCCAAAAACATGATTCTGTTAGTTTACTCATTTACTTTTCGCAACTTCAAAAATAAGGTACATACTGACCCATGAAGTTTTGGTGCAGTTACATCCTCACACACCGAGTGCTGAAACCAGTGTGTAATGTGTTTACACCATAAATGACTTAAATTACCTGTTTTCCTTTTTAATTTTGATTTATTGAACCTTTATTTATACAGGAAGTTCCACTGAGACAACACAGACCTGTTTCAGACGAACATATTCAAATGCTTCAGTTCGACTGTTTTTAACGCATTTCTATGCCCTGGCTTTTAACACACTATGACCCAAGCATTTTGGTCTTATTTGAATTAGTTTAGTTATTATTATTGTTTTTTATTGTTATTATTGTATTACATTGTTGCTTTTTAATACCATTTTTATATTGTTAAGCACTTTGTGCAGCATCGGATGTTTGAAATGTGCTATATAAATAAATTTGACCTTGACCTTAATGATCAGTTGACAATTACATCAACAACATAGTTTACAAACAGCAGCTTTTGTTAGTAATGCCTTAGCGGCCACGTTAGTGTTACTTACTTACACTGTTGTCGACTTCTGCAGAGAATCTTTGTATAATCTAAGATATAACCTAACCAAGTGGCCAATGGCGTTCCCAGCATTTATACTTGTGGGTAGGGATGCACCGATACCGATACTGGTATTGGGTATCGGGGCCGATACTGTAAAATGTGTGTGTACTCATACTCGTAAAAGTTAACCGATACCATGAACCGATACCAACTTATTTCATTAATCAGAGGGTGGCTTGTCATTTCTGTTGTAGTTTTTTAGATTGGCCACTAGGGGCCAATTTATATTTTATTATTTATTTATTTAATAATAATTATTTTGTTTGTTTGTTTACAATATGGACACTGTGCAATAATTTATTTAATTTATTTTGGTTTGTTTAATTTATTCTCAAACCTAATTTGTATTTATTTTATTCCAAACAGAAGTGTTTATTTATTATTCTGAAAGCTCGAGACAGTGCCAATAGTTCAGTGATATTTTGTAAAATTACAATGTGGAGACTCAATAATTTAACAGAAGTGCTTATTTTTCACTTGAAATTTTTTTGTGGTCATTTTTATTAAGATTTATTTTTTATCGGCAGAGAATATAATAAAACCTGTCTTCCAATTAATTGTATTTGTGTGTGTGTGTGTGTGGTAGAAGTATCGTTTTTTGTACTCTGTATCGGCAAGTACTCAGATCCAAGTATCGGTATCGTATCGGTTTGAAAAAATTGGTATCGTTGCATCCCTACTTGTGGGTGGTGTTTTATGTGTTAATTACCTTGTGGCTGTGGCCTGGTGTTATATGCTGTTCTAGCCATAATAGAAACAAATGCAGTACTGGGTCTCCACACTTTGTTGTGGTCACGTTTTTTCTTCGTAGGCAAATCTGTATGTTGTTTCTTCAGACGTGAAATCTCCAACCAGGAATCTGCTGTTGTCTCCGAGTCCTTGTATTGAGGGTATGATTGTTGTTCCTTATATTTGAGGCAACAGTTATTTTTCTCTCACAGTTCCTTTTGCAAACTGCAGCAGAAATGCATGAGAGGAAACAACTGTACTGAGCAGGCCAATCACAGTAGCTGTGGCCTCCATTAACGCAACAGTTGGTGACATTCCTAGGACAGCGCACGTTAGGTGACGACACAGTTACTGCGTACATACGGCACCCTCTAACACGTTCAGCAGAGAGGGGGCAACCTTTGCCTTCACCTAGAGATGTGTTTCTGTCCACGTGACGACTGTGAGCACGACAGTCGCTCTTTTTCAGCAAGCATCTCTCCGTCTTGTCGTGATTGTGCGGCGATATAAAAATGGTGAGCTAAATGGAGTGTTACTTCAGGTTAGAGATTGCTGCAGTGGAGTCTGTGTGTGTCTGTGTGCATGTGTGTTTGTGTTTCCAGTGACTGGTTGTCACAAGAGCCACTTTTCCAGGGACTCTGCCACAACCTTGTCTCCCTTGTTTGTCAAACACTATTGCAGGCCACTCACACGAGCTGTGTGTACCTTTCTGACTGATAAACACAGACTTTGTGTAACCTGCACTGTTTGACCCCAAAGGTGTTACTGGGAGTAAATTATCACAGTTTCTACGAGTCACGGTCTTCCTGGAATATCGCTGAGCTTTGATAAATGTGCTGCTGCCGGTAGCGGGTGGATAACTTGATAAACACTTCAGAGAACCACATGAGTGGGAATCGATTGGTGGGTAATTCTGCATGTTTAGTAGAAGAGGTTTGAAAACTTAAGTCATGTTTTTTCGTGACGTTTTCATCTTACTGCCGTGGAAACAAGCTCCTAAACTTTAAAACGCTGTAACGAGCAGTTCATTAACTTTAAAAGTGAAGGTCACACGAGCAGATGTGTGATCTATTCCACAGAGCAGTGTCCTCCTTTGGATATGTACACACTGTTATTTATCCCATGTTGTGTTCCAGCGAAAAGTGTTAATGTGCTGAAGTAAAATATTTAGATGGTCAGTGTTGTTTGAACCTAACATCTTGCAGTTGGAAGATAAATATTTAAAATTGTGTCTTATCATATCTAACAATTTTCTCACTGTATCCTGTGACCAGGCTTTTTGTTTCTATCTGATGTATTCCCAACGCCATATCAGATGAACTCGCTTCACTTCACTTTATCTTTTGCTGGATGTTATTAGCTCAGTGGATGTTGTTGCGGTGTTTTTTCGTTCACTTATTTGAACTGTCGATATGAAACATCTGTTTAACCCAGAGGCATTACAAGCCTTATACTTCTGAGTTCAGTTGATTCGATGCTGTTCTCTTTTTCCTGCTGTGGTTCACGAGGCACGGCTGCTCGTCTGCTAAGATTGGTCACTCTGAGTGCAATCGCACCCTCCGTGCGTTACACTGTGGCATCGACGTAAACACTGTTTCATACCATATTAACGGTCGCTGCTGTGGAGGCACCGATTCCCATCACTGGACTACTTGGATACTCACATACGGCAGAAATGTGACACCATAGTCTGGTCTCAGTCTTTTACCTTCGTCTGCTTGTTTGTGCAAATTATACACAGTTTAAAAACACGTATTTGAAAATGAAACTGAAACTGAAATGAAACTTTTCAAGGCTTTGGGTGCCTTGAAAAGCGCTTTATAAATCCAATCCATTATTAATTAGAAGCCAAACAAAGCCGTTCAAATTCTTATGTCAGTATCCGATTGTTACGCCCCTCAAAGTGGCAATGCAAGAGCGTCCAGCTGTTGCTAATTGACCACACCTGGGGAGGTGTGGATAAAGGCTCTCTGGGAAGACACACCAGTCTTTGTCTTAGTGGTACCAGCTATTGTAGCTAACGTTTTATATCACTTAAAATAAAACCTTCTCTCTGGGAAGTCTGGTGTTAGTCTCCATATTGATGCTGGGCTTTTGAGCCGGGTCGTAACAGCAGTTGAGAGTAAAAGCAGCCACAGCCTTTGCAATGCTGTAAACTGTAAAACCAGAGTACCCAGACATGCAGACATGGGGAGAACATGCAGATCTAACTGTATCTGGTTATAAAAAGGAAAATTACCTATAGAGACTTACACTGTCAGCCATGTTTATTGCATGAAAATACCCAAATTTTGAGGTGGACAGTTTCAAACGAATGAGGAATCACAGTTTATGAAGTTTATTTTGTAAATGAAAATGTGTTTGAGTTTGTTGGGCACTGTAGCAGATTACTGCTCGAGGTCAATCGGCTGGACTGCTAAAAGACCGAATAAATATTTGGAGGGTTTAGCGTCGTTATAATGAAATCCATTAAATGTTTAGGTGTTTCACAATATTGAACACAGGCTATTTTTCTGAATAATAGCAATAATTGCCATAAATATTATAGATGATCCATGTTTCTCATCCTACGCCCAGCACTGTGCCGCCCAAAAGTCTTCAAATAGTTGATCGAAGATGCTGGGCTGGCACATGAGGTTTCAGGGTCTCCTGAGTGGCTGTGCCCTTGCTTTCTTTGTCCTTCCTGTCTTCCTCGTGTAGCTCCCCAACCCCCCGCCACACACACACACACACACACGTACATGCATGGACACATTCCTCCACGGTGTGAAAAATAGTTC